TAGTGATACTGCCTGAGAAACACAAGGAAGGGTCGCTATGAGTCAGATCAGACTCGATGGCAGTGGGTTTGGTTATTTATTTATTTATTTATTTATTTATTTAATGGAAGTTAGTTGTGTGGGTCTGGAAGAGACTTGGGAGTAAGGTAGGAGACAGTTGGGATGACTGAGGAAGAAGGGGCTGGTGAGGAGCAGGTAGAGAATCAGGAATGTCCCTGTGGCCAGAGCATAACTTTTTTTTTTTTCTCTCTATTCTTTTTGGATTAAAGGAAGGGAATAGCAGTCTCGGCCCTTGGAAGGGCAGGGGATAACAAATCTATTCAAGGGCTCATCTGTGCCAACTTCCAGGTGTAAGCAAAAGACACACTCACTCCTTGCAGGGAACTTTCATTCTGGCCTCATTCCCCAGCTTGTGGCTAGAAGTCCTCTCCTTGCTGCAAGTAAGAGAAGAAGAGGAGGATTGGCAAGTCGATGAGCATTCGGCATAACAATGTTTCCTTAGCAACTGGGCCTTGTAGGCACAAGTTGGTAAAGACCCTGAGCACTGAGGTTCTCCTCACCCTGTTAGATTGAGTCTAGCCTTATGTGGAGGGGATTGAAACGAGGGGCATTGTACCACCACAGAATGGAATGATATGCACGTGTAATGCAGACACTTCCAGGGATTGAATCTTCAGGGCTCTGCCCCTCCCTAGCTATCCTTGACATAAACCCTTGACTCCAACCAAAAAAACCTCTCTGAGCTCTAAACATGATTTGTCTACTTACCCTTCTAATCCTATGCTATTCTGATATAGGATAGGTGTAGACACCTGCAGCGTGCTTGGGATTGTTGAGATGTCTAGATGTTGTCTAGATATGTATGTTAAGCAAAGACCATTTGTATCACGAAGTTCAGAGTTTTGAACAGAGTGGATTTTTGATACATAGTGTTGACTGACTGACAGGCCCTTATGCTTTCTTCATAGCTTCCCGGGTGGGCCAATCATGAGCTGCCACTTCCGAATAGATAGTCCTGATTCAGTAGGAGTAGAGACAGCTGCTCTAATCAATGTCTTAGACAACTCAGGTTAAAAAGTACATCTAATGACCACCTAGCCATCCCATCATACTCCAGTCAGTATAAGACCATAGAGTTCAAAAGATGTCCTACAATTCATGTCATTCTTAATAGGAATAGAAAGGAAGGAGATGTTCCTCTGTAGCTTAAGTGGATTCAAAGGCTTGAAGGAAGAAAATGTGGGAGAGAGAAAGTATGTGATGGAAAATGAAGAAGGAAGGAAAAAGAGAAAGGAGAAAATAATGAGGAAGAGAAAGCATGTAATAAGGCAAAGGAGGAAGGAAGAGAGGAGAGGACAGGAGCTGCTGAACCATTCAGATTTCATAGTTGCTTTGAAGTGAGGAGCTTGGGGAGAAGCTGAATTGAATTATAATGCAAGAATCTTGCCTAGCATCCAGTAACCCCCTGCTCAGGGCTTGCAAGCATGGACAAATCCTGGGACCCACAGACTCTTAACTGCATGGCTGGCTAGATGAACATGTATGTACTCAAACATGGCACACTGAAGGTAGCAGCTTCAGGTAGGGCCATATGCTGAAGTGGCAAGGAAGGGACTATTGTCAGGTCAGACTGGGGTCTTGCTCCAGCCACCAAAGGGATAATAATCAGTTCTGTAGATGCTGTGAGCTTTGATTGAAAAAACAAAGAGGAAGCTACATTTGCTGCTTTCATTAAGAGGCAAAAAGCAGTAGGGGCTGGAGCTTAGCAAGAGTCAGGAAACATGCAGAGAAAAAATCTTAACCCCACAAGTATCTTTGTTCCAAGATACCTCTACTCTCACCCACCCCACATTGTTGCTTCCTTGGCCTGACCTCCAAGGCCACCATCTTTGTGTTTCCCTCAGCTGAAAGAGAGAGACCAGACTGCATGTTAATGCAGATCAGGTGGCAATTAAATAATCCATTGTTTCCCATTCCCAGGCTTCCCAAGGCTCCTGCCACTCCTGGAATTGGGGTAGAAGAGGAATTTTGGAAATAAGAGACAAACTATATGGTGAGATAATGTATCTAATACAGTGCCTGGTCTTTGCATCTGCAACTTCACCAGGGCCACATCATCAATATTGTGCGTCCAGAGAGGGGAAAGTAAGGAATGAAGAAAGGTTTATTTCAAAATTATGGTCAGAAGACACCCCACACACACACACTTCTTCTGTTTATTCCTCCATGCCTAGTAGAGAACTGATTCATCAGGGAGCCCCTCAGGAGAAACACCAAGGCTGCTGGCTCTGTCTTCTCACCTCACCCTATGTGTGGAGATCTCTTCCTGCCTGCTGGTTCCATCTACACCATAAAGAGTTATGCACAAAGGGAAACAAATACACAAAATGAGAGCCATGAATAGACAGCAGGCTGGGGCCAAACTTGGGCTTAAGTTCAGGAGAACAGTGGGGAAAGAAATGGGTGGTCAAAAAGGCATTCAGCCAGTCAGAATGCCCATGATTCATCTGTAATTGGAGAGAAAGCTGCAGTGAGAAGGGAGGCATGCATATCCATGCTAAGTCCTTACCTGGGTGTCTAGGCTTGAGGAACAGGAGAAAAAGCAAGAGGATTTGGAGAAAGGAAGGTATTACTGATACTATTAACTTCTTAGTGACTGATACAACTTCCTAAGCGAAAGACTTCCAACAACTCCCACTCTCTTCCACTAAGCTAATTATTTCTTATTTTTTTCTGTTCTGTTGGGAAACAAAAGCAGGATGGGGAACCGGATGTGAGTGTCACAGCTTCTCTAGTAATGGCATGTGAGGCAGGATAGAAATCCAGGTGGTTCCTAAATCCCTGGATCCCCAGCAGGAGCACTTGGGTGGGAGGGTTTTGGCACTCCAGGCCACTTTGGGGGCCACAGCAAAGTCCTTGTTCAAGAAAAAGGATATTTTCTCAACCCTTTTGCCCACACAGACCCTGAAATAATGCAAAGAAAATGAGGATACAGTGGGTGAAAAGGAAGACACCAGAAAACATGAGAACAATCAGGTGAAGAATCATAATTACCAGGAAGCATGGCTGCCCCCAGGGAAATGGAATGGTTCATTTTCCCTTATTTGGGTAAAAGGCCACACTGTGTTTGGAAGAATGTTTCCTTTTGCTAAGCTATGGGCACTGAGGGAAAACTGACTTTCTCTACGTTACCTAGATAAGGAGAGAAAGCTGAAACTGAGGAAAGGGCAAATGGGCCATTGAGAAACATGGGAAATTAAACTGCCATCTTCTTGGGGTTTTTGGTCTGCCAAATCAGACCATCCCAACTTCTTCAATCCCTAATATCCCATGGTTACAGTCAGAATTGTTTTGTGAGCTAACAGGCCCTGACCCAACTTCTCTAACTCTCCAGTAGAAGTGAGAAGAAAATGAATTTTTAAGGAGCACATCAAATCTTCACAAGTACCCTCAGACCTAAAGCACACTTGACACTAAGTGAAGATGAGATTCTTGGCCATCTGTTCCCCCCTTCTCACCCCAATCTCACCTCACCCCCTCACACACACTCCTTTGGAATCACCACTGTCAGCGCTAGGTATTGATTTCCTCTGGGCTGTCTTTCCATGCAATCATCACATCACCTAGCTGATCAGAAGGAGAAATCTGACATGGTCACAGCCTTTCCAAAACAGAGGAGAAAATAGCCCCCTTTCATCTCTTTTCCTCATATTCCTAGTTCGTGGATCTTTTGAGTGAAGAAAGAGCTTGAGGTCCTAAAGTTCCTCACTGAGGGTTAATAAGCGTATTTCTCTCGGGACCCAACATGATTCCATATGTCACCAAATAACCAAGGAGAAACAAGGTTTGTCATCATAACAGACATACTCAGACAAGCATTAAATCCATATACCAACTCTGTTTGTTAACTATCTCGCTTATTATTGTTCCCTTTCCACAACTGCCAAGCATCCTGCACAAAAATCTTCCTTGAGTCAGAGGAAGAGACTAAGCAGCCCTGAGTCCTATGTTGGCTTGGTGGGCCGTTTCCTTGTACCCCTTTGGTTCTGCAGAGGCTCAGAACCAGAGTGTCCACTCAGGTCAGAGCAGAGTAGGCTTCTGTAAGTGAGCCACCCCTGGCTTCGACTCTAACTGCATCAGTTAAAGAGCCAGCTCGTTCCTTTGGGAAATACTTTCTCCTACCTTTCATCTTCCTCTGTCTCTAGATCCCCTGCCTTCTCATGTTATTCCTGCTTTTCATCTTTATCCTCTGACTTGAATTTCCCTTATGCCTCAGTGCTACTCTGTGGAGCCCAGCCCTTTTCAATCCTTTTATTATTACTATTATTATTATTATTATTCACAGCGACCCTGTAGGACAGAGTAGAACTGCCTTACAGGGTTTGCAGGGATTTTCAATGTTTTAACATGCCTTTTTTGCCATTCCTCCTGTCCTTTCACATATCACTCTCTATTCAAATAATTTTACTACCCAAACTCCCTTCTAAATTTTTCTAACTTAAAAATTCTTCAAGGGAAAGGTTGTATATGGAAGGAAACTTTCTTTGTTGGTTACCAGGGGTGGGAGGGGAGGGGAGGGAACACTGCAAAAATAAATTAAAATAATGCTGAAAAAAAAATCCTTCAAAGGTTCTCTCCTTTGAGCTTCATCTTCACCCCAACTTCCTCCTAATCGTGTCGCCTTTAAGATCTGCCGGTTCCTAATATTCTCAAATAACTTAAAACCCATTTCTTTCCTTCTTTTCCCCCAGTGATGCTCTAGATTCCCCCTTTTTCCCCAACACCTCCAAAAACCTCTCAAACACAGATACCGTTTCCTCCTTTTCCCCTAAAGCTCCTTGAAATACTTCTACCCTCAAGCGTCTTTCATCGCTTTACTTCACATTTACCCTAAGTCCTTCAGACTCAGGTACACCCTGTTTCTCTCCTGTCTTCTCCTCACACCCTCTTGCTTTCCTTTCCCCCACCCTAAATATCCCCATTCTCTCTTCCCCACTCACTCGGGTCTCCTGCTCAGGACGCCCTTGCCGAGGGCGGCAGGGGATTTGTGTTGAAGGAGGGCTCCAGCGGCAGCGCAGCAACTCGGAGGACGCTCCTTTTCCTTGTCGCTGACAGCCCCAGGTGCCACCGGGTGTTGGTGGGGCGACTGGGGTGCGTGTGCTCTGCTGCTGGGGCCCGGCTGGGGCTGCACCAGGAGCTGTCCGTGGTGCTGAAGCGGTGGCTGCTCCGGTGCGGGCTGTGGCTTGGCGGGTGAGAGCTGTCCGTGGTTCTGAAGTGGCTCCTGGGCCCCACCGGTAGCGGTGGCGGCGCTGACCGGAGAAGCTGACAGCGGGGCTGGGGACGGGGGCACGAGCCCAGGCGGAGGCTGGGCTTGCAGCAGCTGCTGGTGCTCCCACAGGCTGCGGTTCTCTGCGCTTAGCTCGTCCAGCCGCCGCTCCAGCTCATCTATGCGCTGGCGCTGGGTGTGGATGAGGCTCTGCTGGTTCTGCACGATGGCCGTGAGCTCCTTGAGGTAAAGCACGGCGCGTACCGGGTTCTCCAGCAGGCTCTCCATGCCGCCCGCCGCCGCCTTGCGCCCTGCCTGCGCCTCGGCGGGCGGCGGGGAGCGCGAGGGCGCCCAGGAGCCGAGCAGCCCCAGCGATCGGCTCGCTTCCCTCTTCGCCCGGTCCAGCCTTCCTCCCTGCCGCCGGTGCCGCGTCACCGCCACACAGACATCCACACACGCACCTAGGGGCGGGACCGCGACGCCAGGGCCCACCCACCCACACACCCTCCCACCTCTTGGCTTCGTGTGGAGGCTCGGTTTCCTGCAGGGCTGAGAGGAGAGAGGCGAGTGAGAGTGTGTGTGGCCGAGGGGAAATGGGGTGGAATACGCTGGGGGAAGGGAGCGGGAGTGGAGAAGCAGGATGAACGAAGGGGACTGGTGATGGAAGAGATAAAGCTGACTAACAAGAAAGGAAAAGTGGGAGAAACTGAAGCAGCAGTACCGGGAAAGTGCGGTGGTGCCGGTAGAAGAGAAGCAGATAAGAAAAGAGAAAAAGAAGAAGGAAGGGACCAGAAGAATGAGAAAGCAGAAAAAGAGAAGATGAGAGGAGAGAGAGAGAGAGAGAGAGAGAGAGAGAGATGTATTATGTATAAAAGGAGAGGAAAGCATGGAATTCTAAAGGTCACAAATTCTTTTTCCTATTTGCAGCCATTCCAGAGGCTGAGGCTCATCTTAAAGACCTTTTGAGAAGATGCCACACTTGCCTCTTCTGTACTTAACTATCTATTCTGCTGGAGAATTCCTTAGAAAACAAGGATCATAGGATCATCTAGGCCTGCTGCTACATTCAGCCTTGAGGAAACTTAGGGTGAGAAGGCATAATTTTGGTCACTCTAACAGAAACACAAACTAAATAAACCCTCTGACATGGGCTAATACTTCCAGAAACTTCGGAAGTGATAGTTCTATTTGATAAACCTTCATAAAATGCATATTATTACCATAAGACAGGTGGTGGTAAAATAAGGATGACTAGGATGAAATCCTTGGCCTGTTGAAGCTTATGATTAGGGGAGTGAATCAGGTACAAAGTAATTAATTTTGATATATTATGATAAATAATAGGAGCTCTTGGTGGCATGGTGCCTAAGGTACTTGACTGCTAACCAGAAGGCTGGTGGTTCATACCCACTAGCCACTCCTCGGAAGGAAGATTGGGCAATCTACTTCCGTAGTGATACTGCCTCGGAAACACATGGAGGGGTTGCTATGAGTCTAATTGATTCAACGACAGTGAGTAATAAAATAGAAGTATGTCCAGAGTGCTCCAGGAGCTCAACAGCTTGGGGATTCCAGGACAACTTTTTGAGTTGGAAAAGGTTTTTCAGGAAAGAGGAACAGCATGAGCAAAAACCCAGAGGTAAAAATCAGCATGGAATAAATCATTCATTTTTACAATAAATGTATGTACAACACCTAGTCCAAAGCAATGTGCTAGAAACAATGCAGAGTACATCTACCATAATTAGTAAGTTATACTTTCTGTAATCAAGGAGATTATAGGCTAGTACAGTAGATATGGAATGCACTGGATAACTAAAACAAATCAAAATTTCTGTAACAGCTCTTTAAGCCAAATGTCATTGGAGTTCCGGTAAGGGAGGGGTTGCGTTTGACTGTTGTGATCTGGGAAGACCTTTTGGAGGTGTGCGGTGTAGTAAATTACTTAGTGTGGCTTTTCTACCCATAAGTCTTTGTAAACTCCAAGGTGGGATTTTCTATGAGCAACT